ATAGCAAATAGAGATAAGGAGGAAATGCAATGTCTTTAAAGAGTTGAGAAAAAAAGCCCTGCCAAATTAGAATTCTAATTAAGAACCAGGATAAAAAGTAAAGACAGTTCAGACAGAGACTAACAGGGTTCCCTATTAATAAGCGACGTGAAATAAAGTTGCTTAGTCGTGTCCGACTCTTTGTGACTCAGTGGACTATACAGTCCACGGAATTGTCTAGGCCAGAATACTGGAGTGGGTAGCCTTTCCCTTCACCAGGGGATCTTCCCAACCCAGGGACTGAACCCAGGTCTCCCGCATTGCAGGCGGATTCTTTACCAGCTGAGCCACAAGGGAAGCCCTCCTATTAATAGAACCTCCTCAAAAGATGTACAACAAGATTATTTAAAGAAAAAGAAAATTCTCTCTGGAAGTGAAGACTGAGACGCAGGAAGAACTAGTAGGGAAAGAAAATGGTTAAAATGTGAATGAATCAAATAATGTATTTCCTTTCTAAAACATAGAGATACTATAAAATAATTATGAGTTATAAAACAATGTGAATCTAAAGTACTGGATAAGAATAACATGTAAGGTGGGAAGGGACTGAGAGTGATTAAAGTATTCTATGGTTTTATATTGTTGGGTGACTTGGATTTTTATTAACTTCAGACTTTATCAAGTCAATTATACACATTAAAAAATTAAGGAAGCCACTAAAACAATGTATTAGCCACAAACCAGTAAAAGGAAAAGAAGAAAATAGAGAAAAAAGAGATCACTCAATCAAAGAGGAGGAGGAAAAAGAAGCGTAGAAAAGGCAGAGTAAAAGGAAGCAAAAATGAAAATGCTATAAATGAATCCAAACAGACTAGTAATCACAATGTTTTTCAATGGATTTAAATTTCTGATTGAAATACAGAGAGTTTCAGATTGGATTTTTTTAAAATTTCATCTCTATATTATTTAAATGACATGCAAAAATCTTAAGGACACTGAAAAGTTGAAAGCAAAAGGATAGAAAAACCTGCTACAAAAGAAAACGGAGTTGAGAGATAGAGAAAAGAAACATTCCTGATGGCATCAGCTAAAACTTAAAAACCCAGGCTTTATGCCTTGAATATCCAGTTACGTGAACCTGTAAGTATTGCATCCTCCCTGCGAGTTTATAAAGTTGTTTGAGCTGGATGTTTTCACTTGCAGCCAGAAGATGACTGACCAGTACAGAGGTGGATGGAGGTTTTTCTAAGGACAAGTAAGAGTCATATTTTAGAATAATTAACCTAGTGGCGAGAAGAAGAGAGGTTTGAGGAGGGGAAAGTTTGGAAATGGGCAGTGGACAAGGAGCTGTCCTGGTAGGGGTGAGGAGGGCTGGATTAAGGAAATGCCACTTGACTGAAAGATTTAACATATACACACAATGAAACTAGAGAAGAAATGCGAAGTTTCCCAGAAACCTGAGTTGGAAGTCTCACATGTCTAAGCTTTAAAGTCTCTAATAGCCCCCGAGTGCACATTAGAGTTTGTAAGACATTAATTGTGGGACTTCTCTGTCCTGAAGGGAACCTTTTGAGAACACTTCCAGGTGCTCAGCCAAACTCGTAACAGTTAATTAAAAAATAAAACAAGAAAACATCAGCAACACTATTTCAGTCACACCTCTGATCAAAGTGATAACGTCTGAAAATCATTAACTCAGGAGCAAGGGCTCAATAATCATACATAAAGATATGCTTTGGGACTTCCCTGGTGGTCCAGTGTATAAGAATCTATCTGCCAATTTAGGGGACACAGATTCAGTCCCTGGTCCAGAAAGATACCACAGGCCATGGACCAGATAAGCTCATGCCCCACAACAGCTGAGCCTGAGAGCCGCAACTACGGAACCCGAATGCTGTTACTACTAAAGCCCGTGAGCCTAGAGACTTCTGCACAAGAGAAGCCGCTGCAGTGGAAGTCCACACATCACAAGGAAGACCCAGCGTAGTCAAAAAAAAATAAATTTTTTAAAAGATGTGCTTTGCATCTCAGATGAGTTGATTTATATATTTCTAGGCAAAACCCCAGGAACATGGGTGTCTGTAAATGGGACGTGTAGGAGTATTGGTTATCTTCCTGAATTTTATTTTTCTTACAGGTTAAATAAGGCAGTTGCACCAGCTTACCAACATCCCTTCTCATTTTGAAATACTGTGAGTTTATTTATTTATCTTTTCTTTTTCTTGAGGGTGAGACACCTGAGCAGAGAATGTGTGTGGTTCTTTCTGTGTGATTGACCGCCTCTTATGGGTCTGTGTTTCCCCCACGGCTCCGGACGCCTACCCACCTGCATCTGTGCACACAACCATTTGTTTGTTCCTCCTTCCCTCTTCTCCTCCTCCTCTCACTGCCCCCCTTTCCCTCTCCCCACAACTCTGGGAGACGCATCAACATTTCTCAGTTATGTGATGTTCTCAGCAGGAGGATGGAGCCAAATAATGGTGTTTCTAGTTATTACTCTGATGAATCACAGGGGAACAGCCTTCACCAAGGTAGAACGGCTTGCATAAAATATGTTCATTCAATTAAAAAAAAAAGAAATTGAAAAATAAGATACTGCCAACATGGGGCTCTGAGTTATGTAGGGTTTATGCAGCGATTCCATTTGCAATTCAAGCAAGAAACACAGCAGAGAGGCACCTGGGAGCAAGCTCCTTGGAATGGGGGAAGGGTTCCACTGCCAACAAAAAATCCTGTGCCTCAGACGAAGTTTCTGGAACAGAGAAGGGGGAGGTGTAGACAGACCTTGGCCTCCGCCAGCCTAGTTTGAAGAAGAAATTCTATGTTAGAAATACTGCCGCCCGGACAGGGAACACTGGTTGACCTGTGACTTCTGCTGCCCAGATTACCATGTTTGATACCATGAGACTACCTGCCCCATTGCCTCAGCTGATTGGCTCAGGCATGGACAGCCGACTCAAAGACATCAGACTGACCTAGGAGGTGGCCTGGCACAAAAAGTTGGGCTGAGCCAATAGCATTCTGTTTTTCTTTGACCCTGGAATTGCACTTGGACTGGGTACCAAGGAACATGGAGAGAAAGAAGCAGTTAACAATAAAAGCTGTGAAGGAGAGTTGGGCCATGGAGACTACATACAAACTGAAGTTAAGTGGGAGCAGAGAATCAAAAAGACAGGGGATGGAAGTCAGGAGACAGCAAATGTAGTGTGTGAGAGGCAAGACCATGCAGCCCACAAGAGAGGTATTAAGAGGAGCTAGGTGCCGGGCATTGCTCTAGAAGCTAGAGAAGAGACAAAAGTCCTCTTCATGCAGCTCGTATTTTAGTGGGCGGTCTCTGACGGGCTGCCTTGTCACAGTTAATTCCATCCCCTATCAAGTTCATCCTTCCCAAGCCCCAGACAGTTGTACTATGGGAATATCAGCCCCCACTACTGGACAGAAATTTGGTTGCAAGCAACAGAAATGAACTTCTATTAATTTAAGCAGAAGAGGTGTTTTAAGGCTCACGGAGCTCGGAAAGCTGTGAGCATAACTTGAAGAAGGAGACTTGGGCATCAGAGCTCACTCTGTCCATCTCCCATCTCTGCTTGTTGTGCTAACTACTTTCTGCAGACAAAACATGTGTGGCAGGAAAGTGGCCACCATCAACACACATTCCCACTCTCTCTGCCCAAGCTTCTCTGTAAAAGGACAGCAATCCCAGGGAAGATTCTGATTGGCTCAGCCTGGTCAGGTGTCCCCACAGATCCATTGCAGTTGCCAGGGAGCAAGGTAAGGTGGGCTTCCCTGGTGGCTCAGATGATAAAGCATCTATCTGCAATGCAGGAGACCCAGGTTTGATCCCTAGGTTGGGAAGATCCCCTGGAGAAGGCAATGGCAACCCACTCCAGTATTCTTGCCTGGAGAATCCCATGGACAGAGGAGCCTGGCAGGCTACAGTCCTTGGGGTCACAAAGAGTAGGACACGGCTGAGCTACTAACGCACACAAGGTAAGGTGATTAGTTAGGCCTACATATATAGCCACCTGTGATCAGAGATGTGACCATCTTTACGAGACAAAGTGAGGCAGAGGAAGAAACTTGAAGGAAGCAACAACAATGATTACCATAATCTAACAGAGGATCGAAAAATAAAGCCCCAAATGGCTGAAGCTAGAGTGGCCCCAGGCCCCCTTGGCCTTCCCAGGTCTGGAGGAGCCCTTGGAGAAAGCATCTTGTACCTGGAACTTTGAGTCTGTTTACCAGTCACCTCTGAGAAGGTGGCTGCTGGAATACATTAGGATAACTCGATTGTAAGATTTTAATGACATAACACTGAGACCTCGGGAGGCCTGAGCCCTGCAGTCGATCAATTCACATACCTTTCACTCAGACCTAAGTGACTGAAAATCATTTTGCTCCCCAAGCTCTTAAAGGTCAGGAGTTGAATGCTTCAAGAAAATCTCTTTCTCTATCACAGGAAACCTCTTGCATTTAGCATCCTGTCGATCAGGAGTACCCCAGGAGGCCAAGGAAGAGGAGTGCAGAGAAAATGTGGCCTGTTTTCCTTTCTTCCCTGTTTTTTTTTCCCCCACTAGTCTGGTGTGTGTTTATGTGGCATGGGGATGCTGGCTGGGAAAAACCCAGATAAGCTGGGTTGTTAGAATTTACTTGTCTTCTCCCAAGTTGTTGTTTGTTGCCAAGTTTGGACTCAGAGCAAAAAGCTCTGTCCCTTCCAAAAAGGTCTGTCCTAGCTTGTGTCACAGTTTTTGGAGGGAGACTGGGACAAGCTGGGGTCACCATCGAGGTGGGTACTCCAACCCAGCCCCCCAACCCCTTTCAAGAAAACTCTGTCTTTCAAATCCACTCCTGTGGCTCAGGGCAGGTGTCCAGCATGAAAATAGAGCCCAGTGCCTCTGTGCCCCCGCTTGGCAGGGAATCTGAAGCTATGTGTCCCCCTCTGCTCACCAGCCTGCAGTTTAATGACATGCAAACAGGAGGGACACTGTCTGTCAAATGAAGCCTAATCCCTTTGTTCCTACCTGCCAGCCGGGCAGCCTTTTCTGCACCAGTTTTGGCCGCGAGGACAGCTGTGAGGTGCTGATGGGAGCGCTGGGCAACGGTGCTGGTTGCCTGGTAACCGCGGAAGCTCTCAGGGGCCTCAGGTGGTGGATGGGCCCCTCTGGCCTCACCATGAAAGTGGAGATTCTTCTCCCGCCCAGGGAGCTAAGAGCCTTCCAAAGACTTGGGGTTCTGTGACCTTGATCAAGGGCGTTCTCTGGGCTGCAGTTTCCTCACCTTTGAAACGAGGCAGGTGTTCTTCAAACAGTGTTTCTCACCAGGAAGGAGGAAGCCTAAAGGCCAGCCCGGCTCTTCAACGCAGCCCGGGCAGCTCTGTCTTATAAACTGGGGTTCTGAATTAAAAAAAAAAAAACTAACTAAAATATTCATCTACTAAAATAAATATTTGAAGGCAGTAGACTCAATGATCTGCCATGCCTTTCCCATCTTCCGTGGGCTGTGGTTTGCCTAACAGATACCCTGTAAGATAGACAAACACGTCATTGCTCCCTTTCATAGGTGGTTAAATGGAAGCCCAGAGAGGTGCAGTAAGTTTCTCAGACTCAACACAGCTAGTTCGTGTGATGCTAAGATCAAACAGCATTCTAGGTGGGGCTTCTGTCTGCTGAAGCTCTCTGCAAAAGAGGCAGGAGAGGCGTGGGAGAAAGACCTGGTCTCTCAGTGGATTCCCACAGAGTGGATTCTCACTGCATACGTGTAAGAGGGTCAGAGAATTTTTGGTGCTCAGATTTGGTTGGCCAGGGGTCGAAGACTGTGAGGCCAATACTGACCTTGGCTTCGTGGCCAATTGTGTGTGTATGTGTGTATATGTGTGTGTGTATGTGTGTGTGCGTGCACACGCACGCTGGGCTATTCCATACCCAACTGTTTTTTTAACAGCATCTTTGGACCCAAATGCTGTCTTTGCCATGTTAACCAGACTGCTTTGTGCATGTGCTTTCAATCAAGGTTTCCTGGGTACCTGCTTATAGCTCAGTACCCTTGGGGGACTCGGGGGAGTTTATAGTCCCATCCTTGCCACCAGCCTGCCACGCCCCCCACCCCCGGTAATCGAATGAGGGAATCAACATACGTCTGACACCCTGGCCAGGACATGGTCCTTGCGGCTTGTCAATTTCAGCTGACCTGCAGCCCATTCCTGACTCAGTCTCAGCAGACCAGGTCTGAGCACAGCTGGTCTCAGTTGACTAGTCCTGAACCTCATTCACACTCAGGGAGGTTCTCACTGATTTTGTGCAGGCTCAGGGTGAGGACTTCCGCTCACCCATTCATTTAATCCTCACGATAATCTTTGTAGGAAGGGACAATTATCATCCCCATCATGCAGCTGGGAAAACTGAGGTTCAGCAGGGAAAGTGCCATGACCAAGGTCAACTGGCTCTTAAGAGGTAAAGGAAGGGGAAGAAGGGAAATAGCTTCTATCATTGCAAGTCTGTTATTTCCTCTACTACCTCCAAGCCTTCTTTTAAGAAGATCTCTGGGGACAGGTTAACCAAATGACCCCAACTCCCTTGTTCTATTAATAAACTAATGGAGGAAGCTTGGCGGAGTGGAAAGAGCCCCGGAGGCTGGGTTGAAGTTCTCACCCCCTTGGTGGCCACTGTGGGCCTCTCTCATCCTGGATCTTACCACCTGGACGGGGAGAGATTGGGTCAGCAACGCTGAGTTCCCTCTCAGTCCTGGCCCTCTGGGTCACCACGAATTTCTCAGACCCCGATCTGGTCCTTGGCTGAATTATAGTTCATTGGGTCCTGCAGAAAGCTGAAATTTGCAGAAAGCCATGAATTTGACTATTTTCTAACTAAAGCTGAGGATGCTAGAGGGGATATTAACTATCTCTGGGATTTATTGATCTCTCAGTCCCAGGCTACTTGGGAAACAATTAGAGGTCAGCGCGTAACACAAAATGAAATTTGCAGCTGTCAGATCAACCATTTGGAACTATTCCCTTGCCCTTTTAGCTCCATTTTCTGTCAAGAGAAAGCCTTCTTGGGAGCAGAATTGACATGGGGCCAGGAAGTCAGGCATTGTGTATGTGGGGAGGGCAGCCACGGACACCGGTCAGCTTGGCCCTTCCCAGAGAACACTGACCTGGGAGCCTGGGGACCTGTCCTTCCTGCTGGTTACTCCCTGTGTGATCTGGGGCAGGTCACACCATTATCTGGACTTCGTGGGGATTTTTCCTCATCTGAAATGTCTTACCTGGGGGTAAAAGTCTCAGTTTCTTCCAAAAGAGAGTTTGGCTGCAGTATGAATGATACAATGCGAAATCTCTCTCCCCAGAAACACTCTGAGTTGCTAAATGACAACTATAGGTTTTTGCTGTTTCCTCTACCCTTTTGAACCCATCTCCTATCCCTTGGCACCCTATCCTGCCCTTCACCCCAGGCCTAGCTTGTGTTCTGCCCACTCTTAGTTCAGTCCCGGCCAAAATGTCAATTCACAATGGCTTAATGTTACTCCATCTAAAAGTACTCATGTTTTAGAAACAGACTCACAGACAGAGAACGAACCTATGGTTGTCAGTGGGGAAGGATGGGAAAAAGAGATAGTTAGGGAGTTTGGCATGGACAAGTACACACTGCAATATTAATATGCTGAAAGGTCCTACTGTAGACCACAGGGAATTCTGCTCAGTGTATGTGGCAGCCTGGATGGGAGAGGATTTGTGGGGAGAATGCATACATGTATCTGTATGGCCGAGGCCCTTTGTTTGTCCTCCTGAAACTATCAGAACATTGTTAACTGGCTAAACTCAATACAAAATAAAAAGTTTAATTTAAAAAAAGTACTCATGTTTTAACAGGAGACTGGGAGACCAAGTGACATAATGAACCAGTGAAGGTAGGGTTCACCTGGAAGAAGGAAGTTAGAAAGTGATATTTTAAGTTGCCAACTCTGGCCCCATCCATCAGATACTTGGGGAAATTCCAAACTGAAAAAAGGTCAACAGTTTTCCTGACTGTAAAACTCGGGGCCTTTCTATCTCCAAGAGGGGAACAGAGTATTCGGCATGCCCCTAACTCTTTCCTCTGGGACAGAGGGCCTTGTGTTCAGAGAAAGCCATTCGGGGCAATTCTGAATTAGTCTCACCCGTTCACTTTAGGGCTGAAGCATCTAAGGTCCAGGCAGCTCATGAGAGCCAGAGATGGGCCCTGGGCAGTGTCTCTGCTCTCCTGCCCAGGAGTTTACACCACTTTCCTGCTTTGTACTGAAAACGCTGCATAGTCAGGCCTTGCCAGGGACCACTTTGCTGAGAGCTTCTAGAAAGCCACTCTCTTGGACTCCTTGCCTGCCTTGCTAGATGGAGCTGGATATCCGCTCCCGCACCCCCAGGCACAGATGCAGGAACTTCTAGAGCTCTTGAGGGGACCCCCAGCCCTGGGGTGAAACACAAATTCATTTTTGTTTTCTCTCGACTGGATCAGCTCCATCCTTGAAGTGTTGCTTATGAGAGGCTGAGTTCGGGAGCTTGCGGCAAGAAGAGTGGCCCCTGGGGTGCTGTTCTCCTAGCATTGTGGGCAGGTCATGCCAGCCCTGCATCTCCATGTGGCCTGCACCTGCGGACCCATATTCCCAGCATCACTGATCCAGGCGTGAAAAATTTACAGACACCATTGCTCTGGGCTGCCGCCTGCGTGCAACTGTGCAGCCTGGCTCGAGCTATAGACAGCCGATGACTTGAAAATGAGGGGCATCTTCATCCTGCAGTGCCTCTGCCTACCAGAGTGGACCCTAAACTTTTATTTTCAAACTTTGAAATCTCTCTGACATGAGCCCTCTCTTCTCCTATCTTGCTATTACCACCCCAAAACCGAGGTTTCCATCCCTTCCACTTTACTAGTGGTTCTCTATGCTTGCACCAGATACACTTTCCTTCAGTCAGGCCCCCGTCTGCCCCCAGCCCCTCAAAGCCCTGAGCCCTCACTCTTTATGAGTGTGAATCTCCCCATACCTGGCTCTAAAACTCCCCAGGAGCGGGTCATGGTCACACAACAGTATAAGTATACTAAACACCACTGAACTGTACTCCCATTTAAAGAGGTGGGTTTTATAGTCTATGAATTATATCTCAATAAGGCTGCTATTAAAAAGAAAAGAAAAACAGCTCCCTTGGCATCCCCTCTGTTTATCACAATGTTTCTCAAACATTTCTGCCTAAGCACCCCAATAGAAAAGGAGAGGGGATCATCCCCTCAGGGCTGGCAGGAGCCTGAAATTCCCTGGCTTGTTCATTCAAGTACTCAACCAGCAAGGTTGTTTTTTTTTTTTTTTTTTTGGTGCACTTTCCATGTGTGAGAAATGCAGTAATAATCCAAACCAGTGTAAGCTGACCTCCTTGCAGCTTGATGAAGCAGAAAATGTCTTCAAAGACTCATGCTTTAATTTAAAGCTGCAGGTACATTTTGCATCCTAATCACTCCTAAATCTGTGTTCATTTTAATGTAACATGTTTTGCTACTCTGGGAAGATGCTCCTTGCTGGCCCAGGGTTTCATGTACCCTCTGTCCCATCCGCATATTCCCCTGGGGGGACCTTAAGCTGCAGAGGATGTTGTGGTTGGCTCTTCAACATCTCATCCACTCTGCCTCCTTGAGTAGCAGCCTGTGTTTGAGAAGCTTGCCCTCAGCCCAGAGGGAGCGCCTGTTTGGTATAAGGGGATTCCTTTAATCTTTGCCAGTGATTGATTCAGGAAGAGGCATGTTATCCAATTCTGGCCAATGAGACATGAGACGAGACATTTCTCAAGAGAGAACTGTGGGAACCTGTGTTCTCTCGCTCTTATAGGAGATGAACAAGAAGGTCCTTTGCCCTAACTGCTATTTGCAGACCTGTTGTACCCATGATAACCAAGCAGATATGTAGACAGAAATGTTGTCTGAGAAAATCACCAGAAATGATGGAGCTTGGAGCCCTGATAAAACTGGATCTGCAGCATAAAGTAAGCCAAGTTTGTGCTATAGCACTTCTGAGCACTCTAGTGACCGGAAAGGAACTTACATCAAGGCAAAACTTCTTTACCACGTTTTTAAGCCTTCCACAA